AGAAGAATTAACACATTGCACTCGTTTAATGACAAGAGAGCATTCTGCATGGATTTTGCAGTAAAAGACGACTCATGACACACAGCATGTAAACAACGAGAGAAGATTTAGCAAGGTATGTGTGCCAAGAGTCCAATCACAATCACAGTACACAGTTATTTACTAACACAAGAGCATTCCATGATGATGTCACTCCTCATGTGTCGAATGACAACAGACCAGCTGGAGTAGATCCCATCACTGCTATACAGAAACTACCTGCTCCACTCTCAATTCGACTTTCACATTCACTGATCACAGGATCACGCAAAAGTCACAGGCTGTGTCACCAATACAAGCAAACAAATGAAGCGATACAGGGGAAGATACAGGAGTGCGGTTCACTCGCACACTGGCTCCACCTACCTGTTTAGTGCAAACGCGTACAGGTGCTGAATGGCGATGACATCCGTCACTCGTCCTGACGGAAGCTGCAACGAGTCGATCTGTTCCACTAGCGCCACCATGCTGCTGTAAGCCTAAACAATAGAACGGCACATTGCTGGTGATATGGAAGTGCAGCGAGAAACAGCTGATAACTACTATACTTGTATCTATATGTATTACATTGTATTGCACATTACACTGTATATAGTATTACATTGTATCTATCTTTATATCCCATGTCAATGAGTTACCAATGTCTACCTATATCTCGGGGGAAGTAACTTATCTGTATCTACCTGAATCACAGGTGAGTGACATACCAGTAGCTACCTATATCTCAGGACACTCACCTGATATTTAAATAGCTACAGATAGATCACTCACCTGATGTGTGTCTATCCATATCTAAGACGAATTTCCTACCTGTGTCTATCCATATCTAAGACGAATTTCCTACCTGTGTCTGCGAAAGGAATAGAAAGTTCGTATAGAAATATGCAATAAATCGAGTGGGTTGCATCCTCTGGAGAAACCAAATTTCGAGAAGTACGAGAATGCGACTTGTTAGATAACAAGTGAGCGGCAGTAGGATAGTAGTATCGCCATATATTTTCGCGCGTACAAGACATTTCCGCGAATCCTCAGATTTGAAGCGACAAGTTTCGCGTCGGTGATTATGAACTATTCAGGTACTATTCGGCATGAACTATCTCGCGTGTTGTTATTTTCGCGGTCCTGGGGACGCGGTTCGCAAGAACAAGAGAAGAAACGAAAAAATTCAGCGAAGGGAGAGAAAAAAGAGTAAAAAGTTAACGGACCCAACCAAAAGCAACCACACGAGTCATATCAGCGGGGGGAGGGACCAGCAACTCCAAAATAGCAGCTCAAGGCATGGAGTTTGAAGCAAAGTCATTGCCAGCAATGACTGAGGCAGGGTTGCAAGGTTGATGCCAGCATACTCATTAGGCTGTACGGTCAAACGCCCTGATTGCAGCCTGTACGCGGAGGTATAATGTTACTCGATTGAGAGCACTACAAATCACAACGGTGGCCCCACCATGTGTAAAAATTTATATTTGGTGTGCCCTGGTGTGAGCCGACTATAACATCGCTCCAATTCTTCTCGGTCAGGGCTCAACTTTCGAGTAGGTAGGATAGGTGAAAAATCTTTTTTATCGTTTGTTTTGACGAAGATGTGTGTATGTATATTGTATATTCTTTGTTTTTTTTTTTGGCGCGGAAACGACGAATACATGTTTTTTTGTTGTTGTCTTAATCGGAATTTCCAATAAAATGTGATCGAGTAGCGGCGTTTTGGCGAGATCGGATCGGTAAAAAAGAAAACAAGCAAATATTTTATTTCCAGAGCGATGCGATGATATCATCCCACCAGACAATACGCAAGATGTTTATTATATCGCAGACACGACAGTGATCAGGCACCCCAATTACATTTGGTATTTTGCGCATGATCGACTCTCTGCCCCCCCCCATTTGCTGCAGCAGGCAGGCAATTAAGGAAGCACTCAACAGTAGTGGGATGAGCGGGAGCTAGCGGCTCGCCGTGTCTTCGTAAGTGCGACTAACGGTCACAGTTAGCTGGAGCGCGGTTAGGGCGGGTCTATGAACTTGTCTTTGTTGATGCGTCGCGGCGAGACAATTAGAGCATGTCCGGCTTAACGTTTAGGTTTCTTCTCTTGGTCGCGCTCCGTATTCAAACGCCCCATACTGGATAAGCAGATTGAGCGCAGCGCGAGAGGATCTAACGAGCAGACGCAGTTCCTCTTAAGGTTAGTGCATGGGGCGGGATGCCAGAAGGGGCGGCTGTCAGAGAGGCAGACCGGGCAACGCGTCTCCTTCCCCTCCCAATTCATGTTCTTGTTAGGCGTGAAAATAAATGTACTAAGCCGTCAAGACGCTTAAAATCATACTACAGTCAGAGCTGTAAAATCGTCTAGCAGTCGAGAAGCATGTAAAATGTGGTCCCTTATAAAAGAGACAGAGAGCTTAAAAAGATCGTACTACACGTCGATGATTTAAAAAATATATATCGTCTAACGTCAAGAGCTTAAATGTACTACTTAAAGAGAGATTTAAATGCGTACTAACGTCAGAGCTTAAATCGTCTACAAGTCAGAGCTTAAAGATCGTCTTAACGTCAGGACCTTAAATCGTCTACGTCAGACGTTTAACAATCGTCTACGTGCAGAGCCTTAAAAAATCGTACTACAGTCCACGAGACATTAAAATCGTCTACGTCAGAGCTTAAATCGTCTACGTCAGAGCTTAAATTGTCTACGTCAAAGCTTAAATTGTCTACGTCAGAGCTTAAATCGTCTAAACGTCAGAAGCTTTTAAATCGGTCTTACGTCAGAGCTTAAATCCGTGTACGTCAGAGCTTAAATCGTCTACGTCAGAGCTTAAATCGTCTAAGCGTCCAGAGCTTAAATCGTCTACGTCGAGCTAAATTGTCTTAACGTCACGAAGTTTTCGTAGCGGTTGATACATTGTAAAAAAAAAATTGCCGAATTTCTTTACAGTTAAAAGTAAGTACATAACGGGACTAAATGTAATCGTCAAATTCTTACCTGATAAAGATTGTTTCTCATTAGTTCTTGCAGCATTAAATTGCTTGCTATGGGTCTATGTAACGAGTCACGAAGTGTATGTTTAACATTCGAGAGAAGCAAATAATAGTAAAAATAGGAAGTACATGCTAGGACAATTTACACCATAAAAAAGCTGAAGAACAGAGAATGAGGAACGCTCATACAATAATATATGATGAAAAAAGTGGAAAATATTTTGTTTTTGATTTTTACTATCTTAAAGTGACAAGTAATGAAGACAACCAATTTAAATATGGTGAAATGAAGTTCAATTGGATTTTTGTTGAAACTATGATTACAGATAATATTATACTAGTAGTTAAAATCCAAGAAATTAAAACTTACCTATCTCGAAAATTAAGAGTCATAAATATAGTTCTTAGATTGAAACAAGATATAAATATATAATATGAATTGATACTAAATGTGGTGTTATCGAAGAGAAGAAGGCATTTCCTTTCCTTCCCTCTCTCCCCCTTCCTTCCCTCCCTCCCCCTTCCTCTTTCCTTCCTTCCCTCCCTCCCCCTTCCTCTGCCCTGCTCTCATTCGTTTACTCATTTCCACCCCCTCGCTTCACATTTTTTCTGCCTTCGGTCCTGCATGCACTTCCTCCTTTTCTTCCTCCGTCCCTCTCTCTCTCTGCCTCCCTTCCTGCTTCAATCCTTCCCTCCCTTCCCTTCTCATCCGGCATCTCATCATTCATTTTGCAGGTCAGTAATTTCGCACACAAAGACGAGTCGTGATTGCTCGGGTCGGGACGCATGCGCATACGCATCCTATATCACGTATTTCGCACACGTCAGGAATTTCGCGCCACACCAGCTTGACTCACCAGTTTGGTGGCGTTAGCTTGTACATGCACTCTGCTGCCTGTGCTGCCTTACTGTAGTCCTCTGCCAACACACTGATCTCAAAGAATGTCGCGACGTCCCAGTAGTCCTTCAGTGACGACAGGCTGCCCTTACGTCCAATTAGACTGTTCAGTATCAGACCTGCAGATACAAATCGGTGGCCCGTTGTAACAAATCTGCAAACGAATCACTCAGAGAGCAACTCAGTAGAAGAAATATATGGGAAGTGTGTGAAAACTAGAGATGCCAACACATATTTGAAGCAATCTGTAGTTTCTGGCCATCAAATTAGTAGTTTGAGGGTCACATAGTGACCCGAGTTTGCTAGGGGAGTCCGGCATGCCCCCCGGAAAAATTTTTGATTCTGAGATGCAATTTCCTGCATTCTGAAGGTCAAAAATGAAAAATAAATTGACAAAAAATGAAAATAATTAACCAAATAAATTTTTTTGGCGATCACAGTGAAATTCGTAGTTTGATACAAACTGGACGTAGTGGTGCAAAA